GGGCACGGCCCCCCCCCCAACGCTGGATCTCAGAGGCCCCAGGCCAGGGAGAGGGGCCGGGCTCGCTCCCCAAGAAGGGTGCGTGTGCCTCGGGCAGAGCGCGCAAGGCACAGGCCCCCCCCACCGCTGGATCTCATAGGCCCCAGGCCAGGGAGAGGGGCCGGGCTCGCTCCCCAAGAAGGGTGCGTGTACCTCGGGCAGAGCGCGCAAGGCACAGGCCCCCCCCACCGCTGGATCTCATAGGCCCCAGGCCAGGGAGAGGGGCCGGGCTCGCTCCCCAAGAAGGGTGCGTGTACCCCGGGCAGAGCGCGCGGGGCACAGGCCTCCCCAACGCTGGATCTCATAGGCCCCAGGCCAGGGAGAGGGGCCGGGCTCGCTCCCCAAGAAGGGTGCGTGTACCCCGGGCAGAGCGCGCGGGGCACAGGCCTCCCCAACGCTGGATCTCATAGGCCCCAGGCCAGGGAGAGGGGCCGGGCTCGCTCCCCAAGAAGGGTGCGTGTACCCCGGGCAGAGCGCGCGGGGCACAGGCCTCCCCAACGCTGGATCTCAGAGGCCCCAGGCCAGGGAGAGGGGCCGGGCTCGCTCCCCAAGAAGGGTGCGTGTACCTCGGGCAGAGCGCGCAAGGCACAGGCCCCCCCCACCGCTGGATCTCATAGGCCCCAGGCCAGGGAGAGGGGCCGGGCTCGCTCCCCAAGAAGGGTGCGTGTACCCCGGGCAGAGCGCGCGGGGCACAGGCCTCCCCAACGCTGGATCTCATAGGCCCCAGGCCAGGGAGAGGGGCCGGGCTCGCTCCCCAAGAAGGGTGCGTGTACCCCGGGCAGAGCGCGCGGGGCACAGGCCTCCCCAACGCTGGATCTCAGAGGCCCCAGGCCAGGGAGAGGGGCCGGGCTCGCTCCCCAAGAAGGGTGCGTGTGCCTCGGGCAGAGCGCGCAAGGCACAGGCCCCCCCCACCGCTGGATCTCAGAGGCCCCAGGCCAGGGAGAGGGGCCGGGCTCGCTCCCCAAGAAGGGTGCGTGTGCCTCGGGCAGAGCGCGCAAGGCACAGGCCCCCCCCACCGCTGGATCTCATAGGCCCCAGGCCAGGGAGAGGGGCCGGGCTCGCTCCCCAAGAAGGGTGCGTGTACCTCGGGCAGAGCGCGCAAGGCACAGGCCCCCCCCACCGCTGGATCTCATAGGCCCCAGGCCAGGGAGAGGGGCCGGGCTCGCTCCCCAAGAAGGGTGCGTGTACCCCGGGCAGAGCGCGCGGGGCACAGGCCTCCCCAACGCTGGATCTCATAGGCCCCAGGCCAGGGAGAGGGGCCGGGCTCGCTCCCCAAGAAGGGTGCGTGTACCCCGGGCAGAGCGCGCGGGGCACAGGCCTCCCCAACGCTGGATCTCATAGGCCCCAGGCCAGGGAGAGGGGCCGGGCTCGCTCCCCAAGAAGGGTGCGTGTACCCCGGGCAGAGCGCGCGGGGCACAGGCCTCCCCAACGCTGGATCTCAGAGGCCCCAGGCCAGGGAGAGGGGCCGGGCTCGCTCCCCAAGAAGGGTGCGTGTGCCTCGGGCAGAGCGCGCAAGGCACAGGCCCCCCCCACCGCTGGATCTCAGAGGCCCCAGGCCAGGGAGAGGGGCCGGGCTCGCTCCCCAAGAAGGGTGCGTGTGCCTCGGGCAGAGCGCGCAAGGCACAGGCCCCCCCCACCGCTGGATCTCATAGGCCCCAGGCCAGGGAGAGGGGCCGGGCTCGCTCCCCAAGAAGGGTGCGTGTACCTCGGGCAGAGCGCGCAAGGCACAGGCCCCCCCCACCGCTGGATCTCATAGGCCCCAGGCCAGGGAGAGGGGCCGGGCTCGCTCCCCAAGAAGGGTGCGTGTACCCCGGGCAGAGCGCGCGGGGCACAGGCCTCCCCAACGCTGGATCTCATAGGCCCCAGGCCAGGGAGAGGGGCCGGGCTCGCTCCCCAAGAAGGGTGCGTGTACCCCGGGCAGAGCGCGCGGGGCACAGGCCTCCCCAACGCTGGATCTCAGAGGCCCCAGGCCAGGGAGAGGGGCCGGGCTCGCTCCCCAAGAAGGGTGCGTGTACCTCGGGCAGAGCGCGCAAGGCACAGGCCCCCCCCACCGCTGGATCTCATAGGCCCCAGGCCAGGGAGAGGGGCCGGGCTCGCTCCCCAAGAAGGGTGCGTGTACCCCGGGCAGAGCGCGCGGGGCACAGGCCTCCCCAACGCTGGATCTCATAGGCCCCAGGCCAGGGAGAGGGGCCGGGCTCGCTCCCCAAGAAGGGTGCGTGTACCCCGGGCAGAGCGCGCGGGGCACAGGCCTCCCCAACGCTGGATCTCAGAGGCCCCAGGCCAGGGAGAGGGGCCGGGCTCGCTCCCCAAGAAGGGTGCGTGTACCTCGGGCAGAGCGCGCAAGGCACAGGCCCCCCCCACCGCTGGATCTCATAGGCCCCAGGCCAGGGAGAGGGGCCGGGCTCGCTCCCCAAGAAGGGTGCGTGTACCCCGGGCAGAGCGCGCGGGGCACAGGCCTCCCCAACGCTGGATCTCATAGGCCCCAGGCCAGGGAGAGGGGCCGGGCTCGCTCCCCAAGAAGGGTGCGTGTACCCCGGGCAGAGCGCGCGGGGCACAGGCCTCCCCAACGCTGGATCTCATAGGCCCCAGGCCAGGGAGAGGGGCCGGGCTCGCTCCCCAAGAAGGGTGCGTGTACCCCGGGCAGAGCGCGCGGGGCACAGGCCTCCCCAACGCTGGATCTCAGAGGCCCCAGGCCAGGGAGAGGGGCCGGGCTCGCTCCCCAAGAAGGGTGCGTGTGCCTCGGGCAGAGCGCGCAAGGCACAGGCCCCCCCCACCGCTGGATCTCATAGGCCCCAGGCCAGGGAGAGGGGCCGGGCTCGCTCCCCAAGAAGGGTGCGTGTACCTCGGGCAGAGCGCGCAAGGCACAGGCCCCCCCCACCGCTGGATCTCATAGGCCCCAGGCCAGGGAGAGGGGCCGGGCTCGCTCCCCAAGAAGGGTGCGTGTACCCCGGGCAGAGCGCGCGGGGCACAGGCCTCCCCAACGCTGGATCTCAGAGGCCCCAGGCCAGGGAGAGGGGCCGGGCTCGCTCCCCAAGAAGGGTGCGTGTGCCTCGGGCAGAGCGCGCAAGGCACAGGCCCCCCCCACCGCTGGATCTCATAGGCCCCAGGCCAGGGAGAGGGGCCGGGCTCGCTCCCCAAGAAGGGTGCGTGTACCTCGGGCAGAGCGCGCAAGGCACAGGCCCCCCCCACCGCTGGATCTCATAGGCCCCAGGCCAGGGAGAGGGGCCGGGCTCGCTCCCCAAGAAGGGTGCGTGTACCCCGGGCAGAGCGCGCGGGGCACAGGCCTCCCCAACGCTGGATCTCATAGGCCCCAGGCCAGGGAGAGGGGCCGGGCTCGCTCCCCAAGAAGGGTGCGTGTACCCCGGGCAGAGCGCGCGGGGCACAGGCCTCCCCAACGCTGGATCTCAGAGGCCCCATCAATGGTTCACCAGCGGCTCCATCAATGGTTCACCAGCGGCACATCTTTACGCATCTAGCGCCAAAGGTCCAACAGGAATACGTTATGCCTGGCGCTCACCGGGGCTTTGGTTAGACCCAGGCCCGAGCCCACCAAACCATGCCCGACGGGAGACCACCCTTCCCGGCCTGCTTGTCGGGACGTCCCGCGCCTGGAGGTTTTTGCCCGACACCCACAATCTCTGACCTGCCATCAGGGTTTCGGGAAAGGCGAAAAAATATGGACTTAGTCTCTGGCAGTCCAGTCGCCAGACCCCACGGTGACTGATCGATAGGAGCTAGTGTGGCGCCCCAGGGGCTAGGCCCCCACCCAGGCCCCCCAAAGCACCAATGGGGTCGGCCTCTATGGGTGTGGCAGATCCTCCCCGTCCTGGGCGCTCTATCAGGGAGGCGTGGGGGTGTCCCTCCGCACACAGCGCCCCCCCTTCCCGCCCCGATCTGTGGGTAAAGGACCCAGATGGCCCGTCTGGCTAAATGACCCAGAGCTTGTCTGCTGCTCAGCCTGCCCGCCAGCCCGCCCCCCTGGACTCCGTTTCCCCCGCGCCGATACTCGGCCCGTGCCCCCGCCCCACGCCCCTCGCCCTGCGAGGGCTGGGGGATGTTCGGTGGGTTCGGTCGAGTCACCCGGCGCCGTGAATCGAGGCCCCAGGGGCAGCGTAGGGAACGAGCTGGTGTGGGCTTCGATTCTACCCCCGCCCGAGTGTGTGCGTCTGCATCCCGTCCGTCCGCCCGCAACGCCGCCCACCCCCTGGGTTTATCCTTGCTGGCTCCCGGCTGACCCCCACCCCGCCTACCCTGCTCCCGGGGGAGTGAGGGTGGTTGGTTGGGAGGGGAAGCTAGTGGACTCCGGCGAGGTGAAACGTGCCAGGGTCAGTGGTGCCGGGGTTACGGGCTGTCTGGACCCCCCTTTCGATGGTTGGTGCGTATCCCATGTTGGTTGTAGCAGGTCACAAAAGCTCCCGCGGCTGGCGCGTGTGGAGCTGTCCCCCCCCCGATGGGGCTCAAACAATCAATCCCCTTTTTGGGGTGGAAAAAGTGAACGTGAATGGCTGTGGAAAAGCTCCCGCTGGCCAGAACAGCAAAATGAAGGGGGGGATAGGGAGTGAGGTGGGACACCCCTTCCCCAACTCGAGTCGTGACAAGAGAGAGAGGTGTCGAACCGCTGACCGGGGCAACGATGAAGGGGCGGTGGGGTGAATTGTTTAACGGGACACCCCCTCTGGTTCCTTTGAAAAGGGGGGAAGGGAGTGAGGTGGACACCCCTCTCCCCCCTACTTGAGAAGTCGTAACAAAAGAAGGCTTGAACCGAATGGATCTCCGTAGGGCATCGGCTTACACCTCCTGGTGCGGGGGGGTGTCCTTCCCCTTTAAGAAATACGGGTCCACCAACGTCATGACGCGGAAGTGGACGCCGCCTCCGGCCGCTTATTAACCGCCGCACGTGGCGTGCGGGCCCCTTTCCCCCTCTGCATTGGCTCTGGCACGGTCATGGCTGAATGTGCCCTATGCTTCAACGTCTACAGCCGGCTTGCGCCTCACCTGACGGCCGTTCACAAGGTGGCCAACTCGGACGAGAAGCGGCTGCTTCTCGCGCTGGCCGCCGGCCGCGTGGACACGCGGAAGACACCGTGCCCGGTCCCGGGATGTCGCCGGACGCCAGCCCGCCTAGACAGGCACTTGAGGCAGCACGCGGAGCTCTCGACCTCGGGAAGGAAAGAGGCTATGGGGAGGGCGAAACGCCGGAAAGTAGCTCGGGAGTTGCAGTGGCTGAGGTCCACCCAGCCTGCAATCCCTGTCGTGTCCCAGCTAGCATCGTCCTCCGAGGGGGAGCGGGACTCGGAGGACCCAGAGGCCGGCCGCCCGTGCGCCGACCGCGGCTGCAGGCGCGCCACCGAGCGCATACAGGCTCAGCTCACGGACCTGGGGAAACAGGTTACCAAGATGCGGTCCACCCTGCTCCAGATCACACGCCTCTACCGGGAGCTGAGGAAGGGAGAAGGGGGGAGAAGGAGGAGGAAGCGGGCGAGGAGAACCAGGTCGCCTCCTGCACCACCGGCTCCCGGGCGAGGCGCGGCCGGAGGTCCGACGCCCCCCGAGCCTCCGGAGGCTTTGGAACCCTACCCGTTCCCGGACCACGTCCCCGCGCTGAGTTGAGTATATTTCAGGCACGTCACTGTCGCTCTGCTGGCTGTGTGCCTTCGGGGAAGTTGACTCTTGGTTGTGCTCGTTCCACAGACCTTCTCTTGGGGGAGTTCGAAGGGTACCAACTGGGCAGCGAGCCCACCCCCCGCCTGCGGAACAACGTCACTTCGAAGCTGGGGAGAATCAAAGCCTTCCTTGGTTACATGGCCAGGGGCACCGCGGAGCCAGGGGACTTCCTCTTCCTCAACCAACCAGCCCGAATCCGAGCGTGGGCCGCCCGGCTAGGTCAGACGCGCATGGCCGAGCCCACCAGGCAGCACTACCTGAAGAACGTGGCTCAGTTCCTAGACTACCTCTCGGAGACGCCGCCGGCCGCCTGTCAGCTCTCCAGCACGGCTCTGGTTCTGATTCGAAGGGAGGTCAGAGCCCTCATCCGCGGCATACGCCGGCGTGTCGTCGTGCACGAGGTAAGGACCAAGCAGGCGAAGGAAAGCCGACTGATCCCCAAGGCCAGCCTGGTGCGCTGTCACCGGACCGCTGGGAGGAAAATTCCCGCCCTGCTAGGTAAGCAAGCCCTTCCGCCGTTCCAGCGATTCCCCCTGTTCGTTCTTCCGGGGCACCAACAGCCCTTGGTTCATCCAGCCACGTCTGTCTGCCCCTCTCCCCCGCGAATGGTACTCATTCGGGGGGGAAGGGGGGCAGACCGACGTGGCTGGATGAACCAACAGCTGCTGGTGGCCCGGAGAGGAATTGTGCGTTTCTTCTTCAGGGGCACCAGCAGTCCATGAACTGCTGGTGCCCCTGAAGAAGAAACGCACAATTCCTCTCCGGGCCACCAGCAGCTGTTGTTTGAGCTGCTGGCGCCCCGGAGAACAAGTCACCAGCAGCCAAGAGCTGTTGGTGACCCAGAAAGGAAATAGAACCGTCGGTGGTCTAATCTGTCTAATGTCCTTCACCAGATAGCCTCGAATCCAACCCAAGCACTAGGCAACAGTGGCGCTTCTATGGCTTTCTGACTGGCTACCTAACCTCCATCTCTGGGCACCGCTGTGGAGTCTTCCAGAATCTCACAATCCAGGAGGTTGAAGAGGCCTCCAGAAGCCCAGACGAGTCTGCTTATGTCATTAACGTGAGTATGGCGCAAGTAAGGTGGGGGTCACCAGTAGCATGCTCTCTCACTCACTCACTCACTCACTCACTCACTGCTTGTTCTCTGATGGCAGATTACCACTCACAAAACAAACAGAGCCTTTGGGGCGGCTCAGCTGTCCCTAAACAGGGAGGAATACAGCTGGTTCCGCAGGTTTTTGGCGCTGCGGGCTGGTCTCCCCGGAGGGAGCCAGGCTACCTATTTCTTTTTCACTTCCAGAGCCAGTCCTTGTCGGACCCTGAACAAGTACTTTCAGTCTGCTTGGCTCAGTATGGGCCTTCCAGGCAAACCCACCTTTACTGACGTACGCACTGCGATCGCGACTCATGTGAGTAGGCATTGTGACGCCCCTGTAACTACCAGCGGCGGCTTCTATCCTAATCAAGCTTCTGTCTCTCTCCGACGCAGGCAAAGAATGCACACTCTTCAGAGGATCGCCGCAAGGTGGCGCAATTCATGTGCCATGACACTTCAACCTCAGATAAGTTCTACGCACTTCACCTCGGACCTCTCCAAGCACGCGAGCGCCGCAGACTCTTTGAAAGGGCCCTGGTGGAGGAGGAGGAGGAGGAGGAGGATGGGGAGGCAGCGGGCACTGAAAGCCCCCCGCGGAAAGGGCGCAAGAGGACAGAGACTTCCGTCTCTCCCCTGGTAAAAATCACATTCTCTTTGGCGTGGACAGCAGAACGTATGGCATTGGCTAACTTCCCTTTATGTGTCTCTTTTCCAGGAGGGAACCAGCAGGAGGACGCTGCCATGGCGCCCTGCCAAAGGGAAAAGCCAGGGCGCTCGCCCGCTCGAACAAACAGAAGACTCTGAATCGTCCTGAATAAATATTGTACAACTTAACGGTCAAATGGTGTTCAGTGTCTTCATTATTCCTTTTATTTATTATCTGTGTGGTAAAAGTAAATTCAGTGGGGACAAAAATGAGCCCTGTCTTCTTAGTTCAACGCTGTATGCCTGCTGCGTCCAGGTCCTGCCTTGGCTACGTTCCGATTGGGACAGATTAGCCCTAACTTGTGTGTTAAAAGTGTCACGTGGGATGCCCTCGTCCAGGTTCTGCCTTGGCTACGTTCCAATTGGGACAAACTATCCCTGCCTTGAGTGTTAAAAGTGACTCGCGGGACGCCCCCGTCCAGGTTCAGCCTTGGTTGATAGCTCATAGGGAGAATGAATCCCTTTTCCAGCACAAGGGGGTGATGGGCTGGACAAATCTGTCCAGGTCTGCAAATGCTTTGAACGCCCAGAAGGCCTTGAGTCCAATTCTGTATATTAGCAAGCTTCTCCCGGGACAGCTCGGTCCTTAGAGATGCATGAATAGGTCAGGACAGGGCAGCTGTGGAGTGGAGGTTAACTTTATGGAGGAAGTAAAGCTCTTCACAAAGTGGTGCTGCGATAACAATTTAGTTCTGAATGTTGATAAAACTAAGGAGTTGGTGATCGACTTCAGAAAGAAACGCCCCACTTATTCCCCTGTATATATTAATAACACTGCTGTGGAGACTGTTCAGCAGATAAAATTCCTGGGGGTCCATGTTACAAATAACCTGACTTGGTCTCTCCATACCACTTGTCTTGCGAAGAAAGCGCACCAGCGACTGCACTTTCTGAGAAGGTTGAAAAGAGCACATCTCAGCCAATCAATCCTCACAACTTTTTACAGAGGAGCTGTTGAGAGTGTTCTTACAAATGGCATCTCCCTTTGGTATGAGAATAGCAGTGTGTCTGATAAGAACACCATTAAGAGGATCATAAAGTCAGCTGAAAGGTCTGTTGGAGTCAAAATGACATCTATCGAGGAACTTTACCAACGCCGTTGTCTGTCTAGGGCAAATAACATTTTAGGGGATCCAACCCACCCTGGTCATAGCCTGCTCTCACTCATGCCATCAGGCAGGCGTTACAGAAGTCTGAGGAGCAAATCAGTGCGGTTTCGAGATAGTTTTTATCCTGTCATTATAAGACTTTTAAATAATACCATTTCTTAAGCATTGTTGAAAGCTAGTGTTAAATAATAAATTTGTTAAACTAGCATAAATTGTTAATATTACAACAAATGGTGAAATAGGTATTTGAGTATTAGGTTATTCTCTTCAGAGATTTTTAAAAATGGATTATATCTTATATAATTATATTTTTTAGATTTTATGGAATTCTAAAAGCTTATTTATCATGTAAGGATTTTATAGTGTTTTTATAGTGATGTTTTTTATGTTCTTGTTGGGTCTGTTGCAACGTAATTTCGTTCTGCATTACAATTCTATTGTGATGATTTGAATGACAATAAATAAAGGAAACTGAAACTGATTCCCAGCCAATGCAATTTCTCTTTTGTGTTGCTACTCTTCCAGCTCTGGGTAACAGCCTTGCAGCAATCACAACCCACTAGGACAGCAGTTTGAGCATATCAGCATTGGTGATTCAGTGGTAGAATTCTCGCCTCCCACGCGGGAGAGCCGGGTCCGATTCCCGGCCAATGCAATTCCTTTTTTGTGTTGCTAATCTTCCAGCTCTGGGTAACAGCCTTGCAGCAATCACACCCCACTAGGACACATGTATGAGCATATAAGCATTGGTGGTTCAGAGGTAGAATTCTCGCCTGCCACGCGGGAGACCCTGGTTCGATTCCCGGCCAATGCATTTCCTGTTTTGTGTTGCTACTCTTCCAGCTCTGGGTAACAGCCTTGCAGCAATCACACATCACTAGGACAGCCGTAAGAACAAATCAGCATTGGTGGTTCAGTGGTAGAATTCTCGCCTCCCACGTGGAAGACTCGGGTCTGATTCCCGGCCAATGCAATTCCTGTTTTGTGTTGCTAATCTTCCAGCTCTGAGTAACAGCCTTGCAGCAATCACACCCCACTAGGACAGACAATCGAGCATATCAGCATTGGTGGTTCAGTGGTAGAATTCTCACCTGCCACGTGGGAGACACGGGTCGGATTCTTGGCCAATGCAAATCCTGTTTTGTGTTGCCACTCTTCCAGGTCTGGGTACCAGCCTTGCAGCAATCACACCCCACTAGGAGAGCAGTGTGAACATGTCAGCATTGGTGGTTCAGTGGTAGAATTCTCGCCTGCCACGCGGGAGACCTGGGTCCGATTCCTGGCCAAAGCAAATCCTGTTTTGTGTTGCTACTCTTCCAGCTCTGGGTTACAGCCTTGCAGCAATCACAACCCACTAGGACAGCAATATGAGCATATCAGCATTGGTGGATCAGTGGTAGAATTCTCGCCTGCCATGCAGGAGACCCGGGTCCGATTCCCGACCAACGCAATTCATGTTTTGTGTTGCTTCTCTTCCAGCTCTTGGTAACAGGCTAGCAGCAATCACACCCCACTAGGACAGATGTTTGAGCATATTAGCATTGGTGGTTCAGTGGTGGTATTCTTGCCTGCCACGTGGGAGACATGGGTCCGATTCCCAGCCAATGCAACTTTTCTTTTGTGTTGCTACTCTTCCAGCTCTGGGTAACAGCCTTGCAGCAATCAAAACCCACTAGGACAGCTGTATGAGCATATCAGCTTTGGTGGTTCAGTGGTAGAAATCTCGCCTGCCACGTGGGAGAGCCGGGTCTGATTCCCGGCCAATGCAATTCCTGTTTGGTGTTGCTGATCTTCCAGCTCTGGGTAACAGCCTTGCAGCAATCACACCCCACTACGACAGGTGTTTGAGCATATCAGCATTGGTGGTTCAGTGGTAGAAATCTCGCCTGCCACGCGGGAGACCCGGGTCCAATTCCCGGCAAATGCAAATCCTGTTTTGTGTTGCTACTCTTCCAGCTCTGGGTAACAGCCTTGCAGCAATCACACCCCACTAGGACAGCCATAAGACCACATCAGCATTGGTGGTTCAGTGGTAGAATTCTCACCTCCCATGTGGGAGACCCGATCTGATTCCCGGCCAATGCAATTCCTGTTTCGTGTTGCTACTCTTCCAGCTCTGGGTAACAGCCTTGCAGCAATCACACCCAACTAGGACAACTCTATGAGCATATCAGCATTGGTGGTTCAGTGGTAGAATTCTCACCTGCCATGCGGGAGGTCCAGGTGCTATTCCTGGCCAATGCAAATCCTTTTTTGTGTTGCTACTCTTCCAGCTCTGCGTAACAGCCTTGCAGCAATCACACCCCACTAGGACGGATATATGAGCATATCAGCATTGGTGGTTCAGTGGTAGAATTCTCGCCTGCCACGCGGGGGACCTGGGTCCAATTCCCGGCCAATGCAAATCCTGTTTTGTGTTGATACTCTTCCAGCTCTGGGTAACAGCCTTGCAGCAATCACAACACACTAGGACAGCAGTGTGAGCATATCAGCGTTGGTGGTTTTGTGGTAAAATTCCCATTTGTGATGCGGGAGATCCGTGTCCATTTTCCAACCAATGAAATTCCTGTTTTGTGTTGCTACTCTTCCAGCTCTGGGTAACAGCCTTGCAGCAATCACACCCAACTAGGAGAGCAGTATGAGCATATCAAAATTGGTGGTTCAGTGGTAGAATTGTTGCCTGCCACGCGGGAGACCCGAGTATGATTCCTGGCCAATGCACATCCTGTTTTGTGTTGCTAATCTTCCAGCTCTGGGTAACAGCCTTGCAGCAATCACACCCCACTAGGACAGAAAATCGAGCATATCAGCATTGGTGGTTCAGTGGTAGAATTCTCGCCTGCCACGCGGGAGACCCGGGTCTGAATCCCGGCCAATGCGATTCCTGTTTTGTGTTGCTACTCAGCCAGCTCTGGGTAACAGCCTTGCAGCAATCACACCCCACTAGGACAGCAGTATGACCATATCAGCAATGGTGGTTTAGTGGTAGAATTCTCGTGTCCCACGCAGGGGACCCGGGTCTGATTCCCGGCCAACGCAGTTCCTGTTTTGTGTTGCTTCTCTTCCAGCTCTGGGTAACAGCCTTGCAGCAATCACACCCCACTAGGAAATGTGTTTGAGCATATGAGCATTGGTGGTTCAGTGGTAGTATTCTCGCCTGGCACGTGGGAGACATGGGTCCGATTCCCAGCCAATGCAATTTCTCTTTTGTGTTACTACTCTTCCAGCTCTGGGTAACAGCCTTGCAGTAATCACAACACACTAGGACAGCAGTATGACCATATCAGCAATGGTGGTTTAGTGGTAGAATTCTCGTGTCCCACGCAGGGGACCCGGGTCTGATTCCCGGCCAACGCAGTTCCTGTTTTGTGTTGCTACTCTTCCTGCTCTGGGTAACAGCCTTGCAGCAATCACACATCACTAGGACAGCCGTAAGGACATATCAGCATTGGTGGTTCAGTGGTAGAATTCTCGCCTCCCACGTGGGAGACCCGGGTCCGATTCCCGGCCAATGCAATTGCTGTTTTGTGTTGCTACTCTTCCAGCTCTGGGTAACAGCCTTGCAGCAATGACACCCCACTAGGTCAACTCTATGAGCATATCAGCATTGGTGGTTCAGTGGTAGAAATCTCGCCTCCCACGTGGGAGACCTGGGTCCGATTTCCGCCCAATACAAATCCTGTTTTGTTTTGCTAATCTTCCAGCTCTGGGTAACAGCCTTGCAGCAATCACACCCCACTAGGACATCAGTATGAGCATATCAGCAATGGTGGTTTAGTGGTAGAATTCTCGCGTCCCACGCAGGAGACCCGGGTCCGATTCCTGGCCAACGCAGTTCCTTTTTTGTGTTGCTTCTCTTCCAGCTCTGGGTAACAGCCTTGCAGCAATCACACCCCACTAGGAAATGTGTTTGAGCATATGAGCATTGGTGGTTTAGTGGTAGTATTCTCGTCTGCCACGTGGGAGTCATGTGT